ATCTTGACTGCGTGTTGGGATCAGTATTGTGGTACAGTTCTTCCGAGCGACATCTCGATAATTTCTTTCTCTTTTTTTTCCTTTGACTCAACATGGACCCGATAACTAAAACTTATGTTTTAAAAAATGGTGCGTATTACCCTCTTTTTTTTTTATATATAATTTTCGATTAATTACAGTAGGTTTTTTTTTTTTTTTATTTAGTGAGAGGCCAGCCCAACATCACGTTGGAGGTCGTGTGGCCGGAGGGTTTTTCTCCGCCAACCGATGATGTTGTAATTGCCGCATTGGTAGAGGAAGATGGTGACCGTTTTGGTTACACTGACGAAACAGATTCTGATTAGTGTCCAAAATATGTTGTCTTGATGAAATAAATCTGTTCTTTTTTTTTATTATTTCCTCTTGGGTTTTTCTTTATTATTATTTTTTTTTTATTTTTAATTTACAGGTTGTAATTTATGTGTGTTTTTTTTTATATTATTGGGTGAGTACATTCTTTTTTTTTTTTTATTATTAGTATTATTATTTATTTATTTAATTTAATTCTTCGTGGTATGGCTTTAGTCTATCTACGTGTATAGTATCCGTCGTTGCTTTTCCATTTAGTGTTAATGCAATTTTGTAATTTACGTCCGAAATTTTTTCTAAAATTTCAAAAGGGCCTCTGTATTTGTGCGCCAATTTTTTTGTTTCTCCTTGTTTCTGGAATTTTATTTTTACTAGCACTTTTTGGCCGGGTTGGTATTCCACTTCCTTGTGGTTCTTGTCGTACTGTTTCTTTTGCTTAATTTGTTCTGCTTCTATTAATTTTGGTAATTCTTGCCTAATTTTTGGTAGTTGTATTATTTCTTCGATTCTATTATGGTCTGTTTCGGGTGGGATGATTTTGTTGTCTAGAGGTTGCGTTGCCTCCGTGCCGTACATTAGGTAGAATGGGGAGTAACCAAATCTTGCGTGTGGGTGTGTATTATACGCAAATATAATCATTTTATAATATAGTGCCCAATTTTTTTGGTTATTGTCGACGTAGTGTGTTAAGGCGTTGCATATAATTTTATTCATTAATTCGGTCATTCCATTGCTCTGGGGGTGGTAACTAGTCGAAAAAATTTGAGTTATTCCTAATTTTTCACATATGTTTTTTACTTCGGTATTTTTGAAATGTGTACCTCTGTCGCTGACGAAGTATTTTGGTGTACCGTAGGTAGTTATTATGTCAAATAAAAAGTCGATGGTCGCTGCTGCGTCCGCGTTTGTAACAGCCTTTGCAAAAGCCATTTTGGTCGCGTTGCAAGTAGCCACTATTAAATATTTTTTACCTTTTGACATTGGTAATGGTCCTAAATAATCGAAACATAGCCTAGACATGGGTTTTGTGTCTGTTAACGGAATAGGTTGTAATAAACCTGGCTTTTTACCATTTTGGTTTTTTGAAAATTGACATGACGCACATGTTTTTATGAATTTGTTTGTGTCTTGTATCATTGTCGGCCAGTAATATTTTTTCTTTAGTCTTGCTAATGTTTTGGTGATTCCGAAATGTGCTGATAGTGATGACTCGTGGTAAGATTTTAGTACTATATTGACTAATTTTTTTGGTATTACTAACAAATTTTTGACTCCGTTCGGTGACCAATTTTTGAAAAATAAAATATCGTTTTCAATTAGGAATTGTCTGGACTTTCTTTTGTATTTTGAATTATTATTTTCTTTTATTGCTGATATGATGCCTTTGCAAAATTCGTCGTTTAATTGGTTTTCTTTAATTTTTTCTATATTTATTGTGTCAAAAGTTATTTCTTCTGTCTCTGTGGTTTCAAAAATATCTTTTACTTGTAACGTGTCTACTGGGTATCGTGATAAGCAGTCCGCCGCTGTGTTCCAAAGGCCGGGTCGGTGTTTAATTTCAATGTCGAATTCTAATAATTTGAAAATAAATTTTGTTATTCGGGACGATGGATTTTTCATTGTTTGGTAATATTGTAGACTAGAATGGTCGCTAAATACTATTACTTTTCTGCCTAACAAATATTCTTTAAAATAGTTCACTGCGAAAACAACTGCTGACATTTCTAATTCAGTGGTAGTGAAGTTCCTTTCACCCCCTTTTAATTTCCTCGAAGCGAAAGCTATAGGGTGTCGTTTCCCATCTTTGTCGTTTTGTTCTAAAATTCCCGAGAGTCCTTCTAGTGATGCGTCCGTGGTTACGAAAACTTGGTGTTCGTCCTTAAAATGAGCTAGTACGGGGGCCGTTATTATGGCATTTTTTAATATATTAAATGCATTATCTTGAGAGCTGTCCCAATGAAATTTATTTTCCTTTTTTGTTAGATCGGTGAGTGGAGCAGCAATTTTCGCAAAATGTTTAATATATTTCCTGTAATAACTAGTTAGTCCTATAAAAGCTCTTACGTCTTTAATTTTGGTAGGTATTGGAAAATGTTTTATCGCCTTTATATTTTTCTCCAACGGTGTTAGTCCTTTATTTGATACTTTATGCCCTAATAATTCTATTTCGGTACCTAATAGTACGCATTTGCTAGTTTTTAATTTTAAACCGGCTTCGTCTAGTCTTTTGAATATTTCTTCTAGTCTGTATAATGCTTCTTCAAAGTCGTTTCCGTAACAACATATATCGTCCAAGTATGCTATCATTGTTCTATATAAAAAATCACTAAATAAATTGTTGATAACCCTTTGAAATATCGGGCCCGAGTTTTTGAAACCTTGAGGTATTCGTTTAAAATTGTATAGACCGAAATCCGTGATAAAGGCTGTCTTATCTTGGTCCTCCCTTTTTACCGGAATCTGAAAATAACCTTGGCAAAGGTCGATAGAACTGTAGTATTTTGCTCCCTCTAAGCTTCTAAAAAGGTCTTGTGATCTAGGTATAGGGTGTTTGTCACTAATTGTTTCATTGTTTAATTTCCTATAATCTACTAGAAATCTGTATTCGCCTTTCTCCTTTTTCGGAATTAAAAATACTGGTGCCGCGTAATTACTTCGGCTTGGTTCGATAATGTCGGCTTCTATCATTTTATTGATTAATTTCTTCAATTTTTCTCTTTGAATTGGGGGTGTTCTGTATGGTGGCTGGAATATGGGTTTGTCGGATTTTAAGTTTATTTCGCAGGGCTCCACATTTGCACACCCTATGTTTAATGGGTCGGATGTAAATAAATGTTTAAACCTTTTTATCAATTTACATGCTTTTACGCGTTGATCATTATTTAGCTCCTTGGAAATGTTTATTATTGTGCCTTGATCGTCTTTTATTTCAGTTTCATTATTTTGATTTTTACACATAATGTTTCCAGTAGCAAAAATATTTATGTTATGACTTCTATTGTGTTCGTACCATATTTCGTCCATATTTATAGAATTGTTTTCGATTTTTATATTTTTATTTTTAAAATTGATTATTATGTTGTATTTGATATTAAAATCGTTTCCTAAAAGTAGTTTACAACTTAGTCCTTCAATGACGTATACTTTGATTTTATATTTGAGTGTGTTGATTGTAATTGTTACTTCTGTTGTTCCTTTTTGTATTAGTTCATTATTATCTGCGCCTGTTATTTTTATTTGTTCTTTGGGTTTAATTTCTTGTTTATTTTTAACTAAATCACCGTCTCCGGGTACGTCTTTCGTTTTTATGAATGAGCCAGCTATTAGTGCGATTTCGTTCTTTAAATTATCACTGATCGTGTTATTAAAATTTTTACCTATCGTAATATTAGTAGTTTGGGAATCATTGTTTTTATAATATTTATTTTCATTGTCGTTGCTCGGCAGTAGGCATATTAATATTTTTATTTGCGTGTTTTGAAAAATAAACTTAATCATGGTAGAAATAACGTTAAAATCCTTTTTGTCTTGTCCAGTGCAAATTTTGGGTAGTGCTAAGGTAGTAATATTATTTGCTATACAAAATTGCCTAGTATTAGTTAATGTGCTAAAAATGTTAGTGTATGCTGGTTTGTCGTAATATTTATTTTTTGTTATGAGGTATAGAATCCATTGTCTTCCGTTTTTCAAATAAGCAATTTCGGTCGGTTTTTTTTCTTGGTCTATTAAATTTTGAACGTTGTTAAATTTATTTCTAAATTGTAATGCGATCCCCTTCGACATGGTGAGGCATTGGCTTGTGCAATGGCCGATTGCGATATCATTTGGTAATGAAAAAATATTTACCGTCTGTTCACTGTAATCGCATAGGAAATCGGTTCTATCGTTATTGCTGAGTAGGAATTTTTGGAATTCATTTAATGGGTTCAAATTACTTATTGTTACGATGTTTTCTATAGATTTTTCGTCATCGTCGTTTATTTCATTAGTATTTATTTTATTTGAATTTGTTGATTTGTACCAATTTTCTACAAAATCTATATAATTATTTTTCTCAGTCTGCTTTTCTTTGTTAAATTTTGAGTTGTCGGCTTTTGTATAAATATTATTTGTTCCCCGAGTAAGATATTCCGATTTTTCTCTTTGCTCGGGTGCTATTCGTTTTTTGAAAAATTGCAATCGCTAGCATAGTGTCCTTTATTATTGCATTTGTAGCATGTTATTTTTTCTCTTCTGTTAAATCCTTCCGGCGTCGTGGATCTTGAATATCTTTCTCTGCTGTTTTCCCTACTGTGCTGTTTCCTACTTATGTCATTTTCACGATTTCTGTTCTTATAACTATCTCTATCTCTGGATCTGTCGTAGGAGTTTTCCCTATTTCTTGAGTTAGACCTATCTCTATTATTGCTCATTTCTCTACTGTTATTTCTATATTTATTGTTATTGTATCCATCTCTACTGCTTTCTCTGAGCTTATAGTTGTTGTACCTATCGGAATAAGGACCTTTTTCCCTATAATTGTTCCTGCCTTCGTGATCTGTTCTTCCTGGATATGGACTTTGGTATCTGTATTCACGTTGTCGTCCTCGGTAATTTGTTTCTCTATTATAACTTCTGCTCCTATCTTCATTATAATTATAATTTTTATTATTTTATCGATTATCTATTTCTTCATCATCGAAGTTTACCGATTTATTTCTTCTTCCTGTAATGTTGATTTGTTGAATATTTTCCCGTAACTGGTTCATCTCCTTTTTGTATTCTCTATCTCTTTCTATTAACTGTCTTTTTAGTTCATCGATTTCTCTTCCTTTTTCTTTTGTTTTTTGGTTTAGTTGAGATACATGTTCATTAAGCATTTCTGTATAATCACTTAATTCTGGTCCTCTGTTATTAATTCGAAATTGCATCAATTCAAATTTTTTTAAATTTTTCTTTAGTTCCTTTAGGTTGCTATTGTCGTGTAATGAAATCGCATGTAAGACTGTCTCTTTTAATCCCTTTAAAATATAAGTGCAAATTTCTTCTTCCTGCATATTTTTATTTAGTTGTGTACATATATTTTCTATTTCTGTTACAAAACTCATTATAGACTCTGTATCTCCTTGACGTCTATTTTCTAATCTAGTTTTTACAATTGTATTGTAACCCATTGGTTGAAATTCGTCGAGAAACTCCTGTTTCAAATTATTCCATGTCCAATTATTTTGTTTGTCTTCCAAATTTTCCAAAAATATACTTGCTGTACCTTTTACGAATATCGATAAAAATCTTACTTTATCTTCGTCCTTCCAACCGTTTACATCTGCTGCTTTTTCGTATTGCTTGAAATATTTTCTTACGTCCTCATTACCTGAGAACTGGTCTGGTCTAATCATTAGAATTTTTTCTGTCATTTTCTGTGTTTGTTTATTTAATGGAGTAGAATGAATTTCAGAGTTTAGGTTATCTCTTTTTTGATTATTTATTGCTGTGTTTTCGTTTTTGAATTTTTCTCTTTCCCTTGTGTTATTAGAATCATTAGTTGTTGAATTATTAAGATTTATTAATTTATTTTCAATAATCTCACTATTTTCTGGTTAAGTATTTAATTTTAATTCCTCATAAATATTATTAGAAGTATCATTAATCTTAAGATTTTTTAATATATTTTCATAAGTATCAGAACTTTCTTTTTGACAATTTTGGTAAGTTATATCTGAATTTTCTAGAATATTTTTGGTGTTATTCTCAAATGAGCTTGTACTGGCATTAAGATTATCGTATAATTTTAAATTATCTTTTGATATTTCTGAAAAGCTGTCTGAAGTTAATTTATTAATTGTATTTGTGTCAGTGCTTGAATCGCTCGTATCGAGTATTCCTGCTTCTTTTTCTAATTTTTTAAAATCGATTTTATTAGTTTTTGCTTTGATTAAAATTAAATCGCATTCTTCTTTGCTTAATGTGTTATCTATGTCGTCTAATGTTATGGTGCCTTTTAAGTATCTACTAAGTCTAGCTCTTAATTCACTAGTTGTACCTGTTGATTTTAATTTTTTATTTTCGCAATATTTAATAAGAAATGGTTTTTTGAGAGTATAAATTTCTGTTGCAGTATTTATTGTTATTGAAAGATCCGATTTAGGGTCTTTAAGTTGATTCATTAATTTATAAAATTTGAAAAATTAATTTAAATAATCCTAAATCTATACTAGGACATTTTAACGGTTTTTAATTATGTTTATCTACAATTAACCTACTTTTTACTATTGGTAAAATCCCTACAAATTTAAATTATTAAGAAGTTTGACAAAAAAAAAATACTACTAGATTAATTATAATACTATGTTATTGAATAAAAAAATCCTATTTAAATTTAAAAAAAAACTAATATACAATCCTAATATTAATACGTAAGTATATCACTTAAATTAAAATATTTTTGCGGTTATAATTATATCGAATAAAAATTTTGAAAAGTAAAAGAGAGAAATAGAGAGAAAAAATTGAACTAAAAAAAAATATCCTATTTAAATAGTTTCTTTAAAAAAAACCTAATCTACTTGTTTAAAACTTAAATTAAAATTTTGCGGTTATTTAAAATCGAAAAAAAATTTTGAAAAATTATTGAACTAAAATTCTATTTAAATTGTTTTAAGAAAAATCTAATCTATAATCCTAATATAAGTATTAAGTATATTACAAAACGTTGCTCACCTTGGCGTATACTTGTAGACGCACGGTTGCAAAAATTGTACCACGCGGCACAAAACTGTTGTCTTGTCGGTCAGACGAAAATCGAACGCGTATGTGTTACTCACTCGGTATACACACGCACAAAAATTTCGTTCTGGGTTTACACTGCACCCAAAACACAAAAGGTATATTTTACTTTAACGGAAAAAATCACTAAACTCGCTCCGGGTTTTACTATCCGAAACGTGCACAATTGTTGTACTTCACTTGTACCAAAAAAAAAATGGTGTGTCAAGGGAATCTCTCCCAGACTACACGTAAAAACTGTTGTATTTCTAGTACGTAAACACTTTCAAAAAAATTAAACTTGCCAAGGTTGAGGTACCAGGGCACATAAATCAAAAAAAAAAAATGTCTCCGACCGTAGGTAAGTAACCCCGTTGGGCGCCACTCTGTGGTATCACCCGTATTGGATAATACGCGGTAAACCAACTTTATACCTTACCCTCGTACGCTCTAGGCTAATGACTGTCTCTAGAATAAATTCAGATTAGCACTGTTAACCTTTGAGGTACGATGGTAGCGTTTTGTCAGTTCTCCGTTCGTTTCCTAAATTGGAATGACTATTAGGACGCCACAACCAGAGCACTGTTCAGTTTGTAATAAACCTCATTGACTATAGGTGTGTGGGTCTGAGCACTGTTCCAATATTAAAGGTAAGAACGAAGAAGACTTTGAAATAAAACTCAACTCGGGTTTTTAGGTCGGAAACACTTTTATTATATTTAAATAACAAACACAAAATAAAATATACTTGGCGAATTCAGATCGCTTAGCCCGTACTCCGATCGACGTTTCACACGCACGACCACAGTACCTACGTCCTCGCCGATTCACTCAGCGACAACGGGACTCCCACGTGCCTGCGCGTGCGGCGGTGTTATATAGTAATCTTATAGCTGTCTCAGCACATATGCTTCACTGACCTATGTCAATGGTTTACAATAAAAAGTTCCCACCTCTATATATGAAATAATATTTAGACGACTGTCTACAATATACGACACAATGAAGACATTATTTTGCAAAATAAAATGGGACAAAAATTATTTCATTGATAACCTTTATTATATTGTTAATTTATTCAAAAATGTCGTTATATTACCTATATTCATCTGGTAAATTTGGTTCAGTTTCTAAAATCTAATAAATGCATTTCTTTCATAGTTATAATGACATATTGTAATATAAGTTTTTTATTATCTTTTTGAACATGATAATATTGCAAATTAATCCAAATTATTTGTACTAATTTACATATATTTGAAACCACTACTTATAGTTTTAATGTAGGTACAGAAAACCACTTTAGTAATAGTTATTGTCTAAAAGTTGTTTCCTTTTTTTTAGACAGTAACTATTTCCTCCATTTATTTTAAAAATAAAATGTTTGTATTGTTTATTATTATTAATTTGTAATAAACTAATTTTTTTTAGTACTTTTTTTTATTTACTACGACATTGCACTAATTTAAATCTAAAATATTATGACACAGCACAGATATTATAAGTATACAAAATACCTCCTCATACCTCATTTACGATCTAGTCTTAATATATCTACGGTCTTGAAAATAAATAATATTTAAAACTTATTTTTATGTATGCAGTGTTGGGAATTATCTAGATAAATTATTTAGAAAAAAATATTTCTTTAATTATCTTACCTAGATAAAAATAATTCAATTATCTAATTTTCTCATCTAGATAAATATAATGGTTATCTGTGGTAATAAATCTAGATAAATAATATAATAATAAAAATATTTTAAAATACTGAAATAGCCAATAATTTACGAGAACCGAGTAGTGATTCAAAATCCCAATATTATTATAGGTAAAAAAAGAAATGCTTACTGAAATATTGTCAGTTTTATTTTGTTATTTTACTTTTATTCGAGTTGTATTAAAAATTAAAATTGTATATTATTTTAGTTGAGAAATGACATTAAGGATTTATTAATTAAGAAATATTATACTTGATGACTAATTACTTATAAATTTCATTATTTAAAATATAATTTAAAAACAAATTATCTATTTTTTATCTAGTTATATGTATGTGTATTTTTATCTTTATCTAGATAAAAAAAATTGATGTTATATTTTATCTTATCTAGATAAATTTTTAATAAATTATCTGTTGCCTTATCCAAATAATTTTTTGGTTATCTTTTCCCAATACTGTATGTATGGTTAATTTCTTATAACAATATGTTGCTGATAAAAGTTACCTTAAATGCATAGCCGCATAGGTAGCTTTTAAGAGTGAGTATGATTAATATTTCATGGCTATTATTTATATAAAACTAGCTGATTCCGTGCACTTCGTTGCTCGTTAAATGTACCAACTCTATATGACTCTACTTTGTTCAATTCGTTATTTAATATTTAGTGTATGGTGTTTAAATTGTATCTTAACTTTTCAGTTGCCCGGAATAAAAATTCTGATTTGCAGTAGTATATTATCAGGTAGGCAATCTACCTGCGGTAGATGATGGACCCTGAGCTGTTTGTGCGTAAGTGTATGATTTATCTCTAAAGTATCAAAGTTATATCAAGTTCGTCGTATTCCACCTATGGTGGATTAATATAATCAATTAATACAAAATCCCAACCTAACTTAACTAATATCAGATGAATAAAAAAAAAACCAAATTTTTAATAAAAACCATTTTAAATTATTCTATCTTCTTCCCAGAAGTCTAATATACACACAAACTTTCATTTATATATAAATATTGACAAAAATAATAATACAAATCAACAAACATGCCCGATTAACCAATAGCAACCAATATATAATACACTGTTGGGCGACAGTTGTATTTTTTACACCCAGATTTCCTACTTAAAAGGTAGATTTTCCTAAAATTATCTTTTGTAAAAACCTTCTCCTGGCAATTACGTATTTCAAAAAAAAAAAATTGAGCCAAATCAGACAAGCCGTTCTCGATTGATGGGGTATAACGACATTTTCACGCTACATTTATATATAGATATAGATATTAGGCAAATACTGCCATACTGGAATACCCATTTTTCAACACAATTCATATCTTTTCAGTTCATAATTCTTACATATGTATAAAACGCATTGTCAGAGAGTTTAGTATACTGTTTAGTTTAACTATTATTTACTTTTTAAATTTTTTTTTTATATAAAATACGATGATTTAGATTTCTTATTTTTTTTGTTTCACGTTTGATCAAATGGCAATTTTATGTGTAGGTTTTCAGATAATATGGTAAGTCAATAATAACAGATAAAATTAAACCCAATTTTCTCTTAAACCAATTAACCTATGTACCTAATTAGTTCTGTGAATGCGTGTTTACGCTGGTAGCCTTAATCCTTTGCAAATAAGATATGTCCATCTCGGAAGTCATATAAAAACCTACTTTTTAAATAAAAACTGGATTTAAAAAAATATCATGTTTGTTGGACTGAACTCAATTTCGAATATTTTGAGTTGCAACGAGGAAGTATAGCAGTAATTGTTAAGTGGAAGTGACTGATGCTTACTTGCGTAATTAGGTTTCCAAAGAAGATAGTAAGAGGTAAATAAATTGGCTCTGCTATAATATGGTACAAATTATCAATATCGATTGTTCATCAAAATTTGATAATCATATATCATATATGTAACTGAAGAAA